CGGTTTTCGGTACTGATTTAATCTCTCATTTCTTTATAAGAAAAGAAAAATTGATACGGATCGTTCGTTTAACACAGTTAATTTGTTAAGTAAATTAAAGGGGTAAGTACCTGAAAAATAAGAACAAATTGTCATTGCACTTGGACAATTCTCTGACACTGATTTACGGTATTAATCGATATTCGATTTTCGGTACTGAGTTACTCTTTCATATCTCTATAAGAAAACAGAAAATTAATACGAATCGTTCATTTATCTGCGTTAATTTGATGAAAAAATTAGGTATTGATCGGTCTCCGGTTTTCGGTACTGATTTATTCTCTCATTTCTTTATAAGAAAAGAAAAATTGATACGGACCGGTCGTTTAACCCAGTTAATTTGTTGAGTAAATTAGAGGGGTAAGTACCTGAAAAATGAGAACAAATTGTCATTGCACTTTGACAATTTTCTCGACATTGATTTATGGTATTGATCAGTCTTCGGTTTTCGGTACTGATTTATTCTCTCATTTCTTTATAAGAGAAGAAAAATTGATACGGATCGTTCGTTTAACAGAGTTAATTTGTTAAGTAAATTAGAGGGGTAAGTACCTGAAAAATAAGAACAAATTGTCATTGCACTTGGACAATTCTCTGACACTGATTTACGGTATTAATCGATATTCGATTTTCAGTACTGATTTACTCTTTCATTTCTCTATAAGAAAACAGAAAATTAATACGAATCGTTCATTTATCCGCGTTAATTTGATGGAAAAATTACGTATTGATCGGTCTTCGGTTTTCGGTACTGATTTATTCTCTCATTTCTTTATAAGAAAAGAAAAATTGATACGGATCGTTCGTTTAAAAGAGTTAATTTGTTAAGTAAATTAAAGGGGTAAGTACCTGAAAAATAAGAACAAATTGTCATTGCACTTGGACAATTCTCTGACACTGATTTACGGTATTAATCGATATTCGATTTTCGGTATTGATTTACTCTTTCATTTCTCTATAAGAAAACAGAAAATTAATACGAATCGTTCATTTATCCGCGTTAATTTGATGGAAAAATTACGTATTGATCAGTCTTCGGTTTTCGGTATTGATTTATTTTCTCATTTTTTTATAAGACAAAATTGATACGAATCGTTCGTTTATCCGAGTTAATTTGTTGAATAAGATTAGAAGGGTAAGTACCTGAAAAATAAGAACAAATTATCATTGCACGTGGGCAATTTTTTGACACTGATTTATGATATTAATCGATATTCGATTTTCGATACTGATTTACTCTTTCATTTCTCTATAAGAAAACAGAAAATTAATACGAATCGTACATTTATCCGCGTTAATTTGATGAAAAAATTAGGTATTGATCGGTCTTCGGTTTTCGGTACTGATTTATTCTGTCATTTCTTTATAAGAAAAGAAAAATTGATACGGATCGTTCGTTTAATCGAGTTAATTTGTTGAGTAAATTAGAGTGGTAAGTACCTGAGAAATGAGAACAAATTGTCATTGCACTTGGACAATTTTCTGACACTGATTTATAATATTAATCAATATTCGGTTTTCGGTATTGATTTACTCTTCCATTTCTCTATAAGAAAAAAAAATTCATACGAATCATTCATTTACCCGCGTTAATTTGATGAATAAATTAAACATTGATCGGTTTTCAATTTTCGGTACTGACTATTTCTCTAATTTCTTTATAAGAGCATAAAAATTGATACGAATCTTTCTTTTATCCGACTTAATTTGTTGAGTAAATTAGTGGGGTAAGTACCTGCAAGATGAAAACAACTTGTCATTGCACTTAGATAATTTTCTAACGCTGATTTATAGTATTGATCAATATCCGGTACTGATTTAGTCTTTGATTTTCGGTACTAATTTAGTCTTTGATTTCTCTATAAAGGAAAAAAAGATTGATACAAATCGTTTGTTTATCCACGTTAATTTGATGAAAAAATTAGATATTGAACGGTCTTCGATTTTCGGTACTGATTTATTCTCTCATTTCTTTATAAGAGAAGAAAAATTTGTACGAATGGTTCGTTTAACCGAGTTAATTTGTTGTATAAATTACAGCGGTAACTACCTGAAAAATGAGAACAAATTGTTATTGGACAATTTTCTGACACTGATTTATGGTATTAATCGGTATTCGATTTTCGATACTGATTTACTCTTTCATTGTTCTATAAGAAAAGGAGAAATTGATACAAATCGTTCATTTATCCGCGTTAATTTTTTTTTTTATTATATATAAGTGGTCCATGGGACGATTAAATTTTCGAATACATGTTGCCGTATCAAAGTCTCCTCTATAATAAACGATTTGACACGTCTGGAGACGCATGATGTATCGTTGCCCGCATCTCATTTCCTTCGTCCTGCTTCCCTGTATAAAATATCGAATTGAAACGTATTAAAAAGTATTGACATTTTGAATATGTCTGAATTCTGAATCTTTTTGATCCGAAGAAAAGGATTGAAAAGTATTAGTTCCCATTAAATTTTACTACGCTAAATGCGAGACTCTTTCGCCCGGGTGCCTTACCAGGGAAATTTCTCTGGTACGCTAAATCCCGTAAGGTCATCAGTCTTTGTAATATATCTCGTCGGTGCATAAGGTTTATATTATCTGTACATATATATTTTGAAACATTTTCTTTGGATATTATATCAAACGGATTTTGCGTGTCACGTAATATCCTTCGGACTATCGACGGACATTATTATTTTGATCATTTTGATTTCTTTGGTATTCATTGAATTATCCAGAACGCGCAACTGCCATGTTGAACGACTCAATTGTCGTGTGAAATGTTTCGATTTTCATAAATTCATATAAAATTTTTCATTTTTCACTGATTTACAGAAGTCTTTCACTTTTTATTAGTTCACGCTAGGGAAAAGATTCATGATCGCTGCCCCGAGCAGCTGCAACGCTTTTCGAATCTTTTATGTCGGCGCGCTTTTATTCCTCAGATTTCTGTCATTAATAACTCGATCATTATTGCGAATCTCGCAAAATGGTATGGGACTTTTATGTTTGTCTTATTTTTAAATTATTTTTATTATTATTTTTTTACTTTATTTATATATATATTAAAAAAATTTTATTTATTCTATAGTAACCCGTTAATCATTAGCCATAAGCAAATTAACCAGCCACAGTCGATTATTCCAAATGATCAATTGTTCTGTTGTTGAATTGTACTCCATCTTTAATAAGAATGAAAGCGACTTATAGCGGAGATCTTAGAACTAATTTAAAAATCCAGCTGATAAAAATAAAGTCTAATTGTCACAATAAATTAAAAATAATACCTGTGAAGATTGGTTTAAACGCTTCAGAAGTGGCGATTTCGACACTGAGGACAAGGAGCGCTCCGGAAGACCAAAACAATTGAGGATACCGATCTGCAAGCGTTATTGGATGAAGATGATACGCAAACACAAGATCAACTTGCGGAGGCATTAAACATGACTCGTCAAGGTATTTCCAAACGTTTACATGCCATGGGAAAAATTCAATAGGAAGGAAAATGGGTGCCGTATGAGTTGACTGAGAGACAGATGGAAAATCGAAGAGCCACTTCCGAAATTTTGCTTTTGCGGCATGAAAGAGTTTCCTGCATCGAATTGTTACTGGCGATGGGAAGTGGATATATTTCGAGAATCCCCAACGCAAAAAATCGTGACTTTCACCTGGCGAAGCATCAACATCGACAGCACGGCCAGATCGCTTCGGAAAAAAGACAATGCTCTGCGTTTGGTGGGACCAGAAAGGAATCGTGTACTATGAGCTGCTGAAACCGGACGAAACTGTCGATGGGCATCGCTACCGACAACAACTGATCAATTTGAATCATGCATTGTTCGAAAAACGGCCAGAATGGGACACGAGACACGAACGAGTGATAATGCAGCACGACGATGCTCCGTGCCATCGCACTTCCATCGTCCAGGACACCATCAAAACGCTGAAATGGGGGGATCTGCTACCGCACCCGCCGTATTCGCCAGACCTGGCCCCTTCCGATTATCACTTGTTCCGGTCGATGGCGCATGGCTTGGCTGGGCAACACTTGGCCAATTTCAAAGAAGTGCAAAATTGGTTGGATGAATGGTTTCGGTCCAAAGACGCATCGTTTTATCGTCGCGGTATTCATGTATTGCCAGAGAGATAGCAAAAATGTGTAGCTAGCGAGGGACGATACTTTGAACAAATCATTTTTTGTATTTCTCTTGAAATTTTCCATTTTTCATTGATTAAAAAAACCCGGAAATTAGTTGCGCACCTAGTAGTATCTCATCGGTGGTATAATACTGCAAATTAGTTCTAAAGTCTCCGCTGCGAGCTGCTATCTTCATTAGTACACACATACACACACACATACAACTCAACATTATTTCTGTTTTTTAAGCAGTACTAGTCTATAACAGCTAGTGATAGTTTCTGTTGAATTAAACATAGGTTAAACTCAACATTCTTTACTTCAGTAAAAATGACAATAATGAAATGGTCTAGAAAACATTTTAAAACCCAAAATTTTTACTTTTGAAGTATATTATATTTATATTATTGTTACTTATTGTTAAATTATATAGAGTTAAATGAGAAATGGTGCTTATTTAATTCTAAACTTAATTTTTTGTTTTTACATTTTTTTGTAAGCACATATAAGTTTGTTCACCTTCTATAGGTGATCAAAACTGAAAGGATTAACACGTTTATATATTTAGAGAAAATAATGCTAAACTATTTTATTTATATACAATTTTTATTTTACAATAACAAGCATTTTATTGTCAACCATGATAAATTTTTATTTAGAAATATTTAAAACTATTTTCAATTTTCAATTTATAACATCAATGTTTCAATATTTGTTTATTGTTCAACTGTCATATTAACATATAAATTATACCTAAGTATCAAATTATATCAAAATTTGTACTTTTGGATTGTATCATAGATACCAAGAATTGTTTTATATGTAATAAAATAGAAATATAATTTTCAGTCCTAGATAATTTTCAATCCTAATGTATAAATAAATTAATCTAACAACATTTCAAATTTCCTATGACTTTTATCGTAGAAGAGAAATTTGCAGGCTTCTTTCACTGGTTTGTATTTTATGTTCTGATATAATGTTAGAATTAACATTATTGATTTCTACTAGCTTTTTTTGCTCTCGTTTGGCTTGTAGTGTTTTCATATATGCAAGAAAAGTTGTCCAAACCAAGCTACAAACACTGACATATACAACACGATTCCTCTCTGGAATTAAAACAAAGTTAACAGTTTGTAGAATTGGCCATATACAAATAGCAACCTGTAAAAGAAACAATCTCTCATTAATGCCTTCACTTCAACAATGACTAATGTATCTTAGATATATCACAGAAAAATACCTTGTATGTTGGCCAGAATTTAATTTTGACCTCCTCAATACATTCCGAAACTGGCTTTAATTCAAGAAAATTCATGCCAAAAAAAAAGGAACACATAGCTGCAGGACTATATGTGACTTGTTCAACTAGAGCCTATAATTATTATATTTATTTAATTATTAATTGTTAATAGTTTCCTTGTAATCATATTTATATAAATATATAGTTAAAATAAAATTTATATAGCAATGTTAAATGGTATAAATTATTAAAATTTCTCTTCTTTAAACATACCTTGGTGATTGCAGATTTCAAATTAGTTTTTGGCCAAAGATAAGACGCAAATCTAAGCCAGCAATATAATGTAGGTGCTACGTAAAAACTACCATACAAACTAAATCGCACTGCCTCCATGTAATTTAACTCCTTTCTGCCTGTGATTTTTTGTTGCAACAGACAACCAGCTGGCCATATGGCTGCGTAGGATACCATACCACGAACTATCGGATATTTCTGCGTGATTTCACGGAATTTCACAAACACAATGCGCATTTCTATGCCTCTGTTACAAAACAAAAAAAAATACTTTTTATATCAACACAGCACGTTTTGACCAACATTAAAGTGACGCATGCACGCGCTGAAACCGCGCGTGCGTACGTATCCTAAAAAGATTCGCGATTTTATAGAGAAGCAAGCACTTATCTCGACTATATGTTAATTGAAAATTAAATCATGATGGGATTACCATCATTCAATCAGTATGACATAAAACAGATAATCTCTTTCGAAACACATATAATTGTTAATTCCTTTTCTTTAAATTTTCATCTCGAGTTATTTCACAGTAAATTTGCTTTTTTAAAACCTGTTCTTTATCCATATCAAAAGTTCTGATCTACATCACGGGTACATAAATAACATTACGTCATTAGCGTTTTTCTGTAAATATACGTGATTTATTACCTTTGGTTACTGTCATCAGAACGATAGGCGCTAAGTAAAGACACTTCGTGACATGCAGCGAACTATAACACAGCTTTCGACAGACTGCAGCGTTGTGCATACGTATTCGGTGGCTAACCAACAATATACCCACTTAAGCGCGTGACGTGATGACTGACTCTTTTTACGTCGACGAACCCTCACGCTGAGACTGTATGACGATGACGAAACCGATTGATCCATTCTTATCTGTCCTTGGTCACCATTTGCTCTTCACGTTGTGCAATTAGTAGACTATGCATCTTCCTGGTAATATGCGGATTGACGATGATCGCTCGGTAACATCGGTAACCATTACCGATCATTGTAAATTAATTAAACAATAAATGCGAATACTTACAAAATATGAACCAACTTAAGTTATCTTGTATACTTGCAGATATTAAAGAGGAAGAAATACTAGAAATATTTTGATTTTATTTAAGTATTAATTATATACAGCATACAATAGAGAAATAAAATATGCAGTAGAATTTACTTTTCTGTAGAGAGAGAAACTTTCCTACATATTCAGGAAACAATTAAAACGTGAGACATACGTGAATCATTTAACGTATATAACTGATTCAACGATCTTTTATATTGTTCTGCGATAAGGAAAATATACTGTACATAAATATGAATAGATAGATGTATTGTCAATAGTAACTGGCTGTGGTGGTAAATAGGAGACTGTGTGTACATACAATTACAATAAAATATCTTAAGATGCAGAATACATGCACGATGATACATAATATAATTTCTGCCTAAGACGCCGACACTTGTAGGTAAATTCTTACAAAAGTTCAACATTAGAGAAAAGCTTACTTTATGACAATTTATTGCGCTAATTATAAAAATCACTAGATTTCCTTTGTATGTACATGTATATATATTATAACCAGCTTCTTGTCTTGTATGTAACATAGAATCGTAATTTGTTAATCACGATATTGATAATTCGCCCCGTAAATGTATAATTATATTTGAAATATATAATTATATGTATCTACATCATTAATTTTTATGTATCATAAAGCAAGCTTGCATAGTGATCCTAAAGTTACAAAGGTCATTTCTTTTCTAATACGTATATAAAAAGACGTCCTGAAAACTTTTCATATCCTACATCCACCACTGTACAAAACAAGGACAGCAGCCAAAACATTTGTTGTACAAAGGTACATTTTTACAATGTTGCATCTTAAGCTTTTCTCAAATTTTTAATAAAAAAATATTGTATATTCTCTCTCAATGATTGCAATTCCCACTCAACTCTTTAAAATTATGTGCACAAATTCTCCTTAATGCCAATTTCAGTAGATGCCCAAATTTCGCACTGTTTAATGTTGGCACGGTCCGTTGTATAAATCAAAATGCTATACTAAACCAACACTCATTGCGTTGCAATGTCAAACAAATCACATATACCTTCATTCTCACTAAGATTAAATTGATAATCTCTTTCTCCTGGTGGTGGACTGAGTCTTACTAATGGTCCACAAACTGCAAATGAAATTCAAATGTCAAATAGAAAGAAAGAGAAATTACTTTTTTAAGTGCATAAGAATATATATAAAATTTAACTTACAATCAGAATAAAGTTGTTCAAGCAACTCTACATCATTTTGAAAATTATCTGTAATAAAATATTTAATGATTTATCAATTTTACATATCGCACAAAATATTTAGAATAAATTTAATATAAATATTACATTGTATAAAGAAATAAAAACTTACGCTCCAAAGGACATTTACCTGTAGTGTTTACATCACGCAGTATTATTTTAGCTTCTATTATTTCTGCATCTTCTTCTTCCTCGTCGTCGGATAATACTGGATCTGGCTTAGTGCTGCTTTTTGGTGGCCTAATAGTTTAATTACATTCGATTTACTTTTATGTCATTATGTATAAAGATTCAAAAAGCAGATATACCATATTAATGTGCATTTTATACCAAACGAATAGATTCATACTCTGATAACTATTCATCCCACAACAAAATCTGCAATTGCTATTTGCTCTGTGCAGACCAGAAATTTTATTTCACAATTTCTGATGACGGTTAGAGCAAGGGGAAGAGTAAGAGAAAAAAAGTGCATTTGTAAATGAAATAAATTATCACCTACCTGCCAACTTTCCTCTTTGGTTTGACAATAACTTCTTCTTTCTTTTCATCCTCTTCACTCATCCGCTTTATGCCTTTAGATTCCTCTTGTAATCGCATCTCTAATACTTTATTATCATAAGTTTTAGCTAACTCAGGTTGGATTGTATACACCTTGATTTCACCTGAATTACTCTTCAAGTGCATGTTGTAATTTAATACAGCATTATCCTGTATTTTAATTTGTGAAATATAATGTATACAATATAAAATCAATGTGCATATTGAATAGTTCAGATATTTTTTTCAAATACCTTTGAAATATTTGGTACTGTTAATTCTGTATCAGAAGGAGCTTGAATTCCTAGTACAAATTGTTCTTGAAAATTCTCTTTTACATCCTCGTAAGTGATATATGCATACTTCCTATTTATCACATCATTCTCTATATTCTTTATACTCTGCTGAATCCACTGCATGTGCGTGTCCAGTAGATGTTCATGATCTTCCAATTTTCTGATCTCGTCCTTTAGGTCGATCAGCTTGTCACCAACCTCCTGAGTGTTGCAACCAGGTCCTGCACCCCTTCAATCGTAGTTTAGAAAGTCAGTATATACATGGAGAAAAATAGACTCAACTATGGTAATATGAAATATAATAGTGCAAAAACAGTGCTTTGTAGAAGATAAAAGCAAAACCTACTTCCATTGAATGCTGTTTTTACTCTTCTTTTCTATAAGGCCGATACCCTCAAGGACATTTGTGATATCATAGATTCGTCGCTTTTGCCTAACTTCCAAGATATCTGCAGCCTACAATATGTTTTTAAATACATAAAAATGCTTTATCAATTGAAAAAACAAGACATTTTCGCTTATAGGTTAGGTGAGATTACGTGTTACGTGTTGAAATACCGTAACGCATTGACTACGTTGCGAATCGACGTCAAGTTTTACCGAATGGACGAAGCACTTACGACGCGGCGAGGATCGTTAAGCAGTAGCGCACGATCCCCTGGACGTGCACTTCTTTCAAAATTCCCGCAACCGAGAAATGGCGTGTACGCCCGCGATAACTTAACCTTAGTATGGATACAGGTTAACTTTCTCTAACCCTCTTGGCAGAAACAAATACTCACGACTTTCAAATCTAGCACGCCGTCCTTTGCTTTCTGCAGTAAAGTAACGAAGCGAGTAGTCAGTAATCCGAGGGACTTCTCGAATCGACTCTGCTGATTATCTGCCATGCTCGACGTCGTTGTCAAAATTTTCAAAACTCGCTACGTCCCTTCGAAATTGCCGCAACACCACAGACGCCATCCTAGTTAACGTGCAACGGTCATTCAAATATGAGCGCGTCTCTACTGTCGTTAACGGAACTGGTGATTGAATAAATAATCGAATCATTTTATGTGAAAATACCCAAAAAATTACACAAAAGAATGAAATGTTCGTTCAAACTTTAGATTAATGTACATTTGCTTTTAGTTAGTCATAATAATAAATTATTACAGTATTTACGTACTTATGAAAAAAAATATGAACTTTTATCATACCTGTTTTAAAGTTGATTTATTGATACGTTCGATTTTTGCACACCTATAATTTAGTTATTTATAAGATTTTATTAATATACATTTTTATATTTATTATATTGTCATTTCATGTTATATTCATATTCATGTTATTATATTATCATATCTGCAATTAATCTTAAAAATATATAACATGTATATGTATATATGATAAGTCATTTACACATAGATTTGATGTAATATATTTTAATATTTTACAAAAGTCTATCAATAGACTTTTTACTAGTGATGATGGTAGGTAGTGTTAAATTTTACATATAAAAATTATACAAAATATAAATAGTGATTATAATAAAAAATGTTGATACATATATATTAATAGCAAAAGTTCTCAAGGAAAAAGAAATTCACTGGTGACTGTTGCATCCGGACTTTGACTGGAACTAGCGGAACTAAGAGTTTCATCCTTGATTTTTAATGATGACGAATCCTTATCTTTGCTTTTATCCTTTTCCTTATCTTTACCTTTATCTTTTTCTTTCTTTTCCTTGTCCTTAGTGTGTTTATGATCATGTTTGTGCTTGTGTTTATGTTTATGCTTCTTCTTATCTTTCTTCTTCTTCTTATTCTGTGTGAAATACATTGATATATCAATTTTTTAAATATTACATATTATATAAATTACACAGACATCTTCTACCGTATAATAAACCTCATCTACCTTATTGGTGGAATCATTTTTCGGTTTATGTTCGTCCGCTTCTTTTTTAAACATTCCTGGTTCAAAGCCCACCGGACCCGGAGTTCCCATGATGCCAGGCAAGGATGCTGAATTATCACTGTAATATTCGGATTTTACTTTTCCTTCCCCGGATACTGAAATTCCCCGCTCATCCTGCTACAAGTAACAATAGTACTTATTACATATATTTAATAAGAGAAAAATAACTAAGAATATGTTATACATACATTAGTCGTTGGTTTTGGTCGTTTTACTTCTGGCCCATATTCCACTGGATTCGATGGAACCAGAGGATCAACATTTGGGGATGGTCTCTTTCTGTTCGAAACAGCTACATTTTCGACTTCATCAATTGGCTCATGTCTGACGTGTTGCATGGGTACAACTTTTACCTAAAAAAAAAATTTATGATTCTATAGAGAGATATATTATGAAAGCATTTTATAATTGTGTAATAGATGTAGTCTATAATCTTACTTCACGTTCTGGACTATTTGGTGGACCCGCCTTCCTAGGTTTCGTGAGCATCGCGAGTTCAGGAAAACAAAAAGGAGTTTTTGTACCATACAAAGTATAGTACAAATCCACTAAATCACAGCGTAATTTTGCATCATGTGACAACATGCCACTAAAAGTAATATATATGCATGTTTATCGTCTGTTACATTAAAAGAGAACGATTTTCATAGAAGATTGTAAGAATAACATACTTGATTAAATTCCATATACGGTCGACTAAATCTGGTTTATCCAAGCGATGTTTATGTGCTTTTTCGAATGGTGGATTCTCCACCATTAACCTCACAAGTCTATGACGTACACCGGGATGTGGATCCATTTCCGCCATATCCAAGAGAAATTCTAAATCTTCCCATTTACCGTCTACGCGAGTGAAATCAACTAACGCTTCTAAAGCTGCGATTCGAATATCTAAAAAAGGCCGACCAAATGATTTGAAAATTCCAGCACATAATTATAAAAAAGAATATTAATATCATCAAATAATTTAAAATATTAACTTTATCCGAAATATTACCTATAAATTGTCCATACGCCGCATATGCTCTAAAAAGATTAGGATTGCTCGGAAGATGACCAAACTTTTGGAGGATTCGTATAACTTTAAGACAAGCTACACTAACGGTATATTTGTAACAAGGCAACAATTTTTCTAAATTCAGGTTTCTTGTCACTTCCTCTAAAATAGCTTTAGTGTCGATTGATAAAGATTCGGCTGTAATAGCGGTCCTACAACAACAAGTGTAAAACGTTAATCTTTATTAGATTATAATAATTATCTTGTAAATTAAAATTATATCATACCCTTGTTGCACACTGATAACTGGCGTAACAGTAGCGCCTAAAGCTTCTATTAGTGCGGCTCTATAGTAATTGTCGGAATATCTATTTTTACTATTATCGTTGTACTTGAAGAGATCCATTAAGAAGGCTAAAACTTCTGGTGGACAAATACCGTGGGCATTTCGTAATCCTGCCATTGCAACTGGTATAGTCTATAATAAGTTTGAAAGTTTAGAAAAAAGATATCATGAAATGAAATACGATATGACATATTAATATCGACCTTTTGCAGGAAATAATGTTGAAAATTTGAAAAGTTATTTTGCTTAATAATTCGTCGACACGACGCCGATCCGAATAATTTTCTAAATATGGCCATCATTGCTGGTGGACCAGCCCATGTTGCCACCATAGCATTAGCTACCTATAAAAATATATAATATATATAAAATACATATACACATAAAATTAAATAAATATTCAGCGATAACTCACCTTTGTTAAACAGTGCGCAGCACGAAGTCTAACTTTGTAGTAGCAGTGCTCATTTTCAATCGTGTCGGTTAATGCTAATCGTGTAGCAGGCGTTGAATGATTTTGTAGAGCTTCGATCGCTTCTAATTGTGCTGTAACGTCTCTCTCATGTCTCAATTGATACTGCCATTGATAATCAGGTTGTTCTATTTGTACGGCACGCATGAGTGTCATTTCAGGATCCAGTCTGATCCATAATACTGGTGAATCGCTATTAATAAAAAAAGAAAAAAATAAATACAAAAAAGGAATATGAAGGGAAGGATCCTTATAATACATTTGCAACTATTGTAAAGTTTATGATCAAATCGGTATCTTACTCCATAGCAGAAAGATCCATGTCCACCTCTTCACCAGTGCATAATGGGATTTTCTTCTTTTTATTTCTACGACTTTTACTGTGACATGTTATGTCCGCTTTAGCCAGTGTACCTTCGATTTGTAATGTGTGCTTAAAAGTACCATCTAATTCTTGAATATTGACCAACAATGTACCAACATATTTTCTAATCCCTCTTTGATGTGTGGTATCTTGTTTAATTTCTAATTCTACCGTGTTCCTGTAATATATATCATCATTCTTATAAACTGTATGTTAATAGAATTGTAATTATATATAAATAAAAGAAGTACCTTTTCCTGTTAAATACAAAACTTAACGTAAATTTTGCATGTCCTCCTGTTCTCACCCATTGATCTATAAAGACTGCCATATCTTTACCCGTCACAGTAAAAATTGCCTTAGTGAATACATTTGTGCTAATTAACATGTGTGACCATAAGCCAGAATCAATTTTTTGTTGTGCAGCATTAGCTGCTAAAGAGAGCTGCTTGTTGAAAACCTATCGATCGGATAAAATATATATTGGTATAACTTTTAATCCATGTAATTGCATGTTTAAGAAGAAAAAGAGATAAAAAGTATATATATTTACTTGAAGCAACAATTCTTGGCCAATTCTGTGTTCTAGCATTCTAATAACTAGGTGTGCCTTTTTGCGGAGAACTTTAATGTATTGTGGTGACATTGTGTGCAAATTTCTAATGGGAAAATAGAATCCTGGGTCAGGAGCACGGGGTGCAGGAGCCGGGGTATTAGCTGCAATGGGTAATGGAGCTGGTGGTTGAGATGGATCTAATATTATACCACCAAACTGTTCTTCGTATTTTACAACTTCTTGCAATTCCTAAAAAAGGGAAAGAAATTGAAATAATTAAGAAATAGGATCATAAAAAATAACAGGTGTTATGAATACTCACAGATTGAATCCATTGTCTATATTCATTGTTGCCAAAGCACTTTTTAGCATACAATCCTGTTAAATAAGTAGAGATACCTTTGGGTAGCCATGTATCTGACCAATTTTGCATAGATATGAAGCATCCGAAAAATTGTTCCGCGATTGCCTGTGCCATTGCTTTTTTTGTGATGTATACCTGATCTATGATCGCGGTAGAATGTAATAAATTTGTGCTGTAATAAACAAGCAATTATCAGTAAATTTCAAATGTATAAAGTATATAAAGAAATACCATATAATTTAGATACTGCATATTTTAGACCTACTTTAAAATACTCATAGTAGCATAAACATTGATGTCGTCATCTACTTCATCAACAAAGACTTGTTTGTAACAAGAATATGGATATCGATTTGACAAAGTTTCCTCATAAAATTCAAAAGCTTCATGCATGTATTTTGCAGATACTTTCAAAGATGGTAGAAGTTGAGGCAGGCAGAAATGAGTCACTTCATGCATGTAAGGATCCACAAAAATTTCAAAAGGTCTATAAAAAGAAGAAATAGATTTGTATTAGTTCATTATATAAATAAGTGTTAATCAGCTTCTATATAATTATTTACCCAACTGCCAACGCAATGTTTGGAGCACAAGCTGGAGTATTAAGCACATAATGAAATGTTTTCCTGCGCATGTCAGGTGTGTAAACAACTTCAATTAAATCTCCACAGGAAACTGCAGTCATTGAGTCATCAACAGTAAATTCCAATTTCCAGGTACATGGTTCAGCAAAACTATCCACACATGGAAACCATAGTCTTGATGAGTTTTCATAACTATATGTATACATATGTGCACCTCTCTAAAAAAGATTATTAGAGTGTAATAGTAAAGAGAAGTGTATATACTAATATTTTAATGATATCAAGATAAGCTTACTTCAGCTAAAGTGCCCTCACAATTTGGAACTACAAAATGTACACCACCTTGTGGTTGCTCTAAAGAAAATTCAATACTAATCCTCAGTCCTCGTCCTTCCGCAACTAAATGTGCTGCATCTGGTGGTATCTGAACTACCAGTTCCCCAGCATTGTTATCAGGATCAACTTTCTGAGCAGCTGCTAAATGCATATTTGAAAAGAATTCCAGGGAACGTCTATAAAAAATTTAATTAATATTCTTTGATATCACTGAAATATATGCTATAGAAAAACAAAATTTCTTACTGTTTACTATCTCCTTGGCAAATATCCAAAAATGGATCAAAATATTGAAAAGGAGCTTCATATGTATCATTTAAGCATACTCTGTATATCCTGCATTGTTTGGCATTAAGCTTTATCAGCCTTAATGTATCTCGTAATGGTATAATAGTTAATTCAACACAACCCTATATAAAACAATACCAAAGATAAATTTAAAACAATTTAAACCTATTTTTAATAAAATAAGTTAATGTTACTTACAATAATACTTTTTCTTAGGAAACTTATTCCAGCTAAACTTAATATTTGATGAGCTGTAAAATATAAATTGTTAATTATTTTAACAGAAACTAACAGAAAATAAAATGTTTATAAAATGTCAGATTATAATCAATACGGCAAAAATCCAGGGGCCAAATTGAGAATGTCAAAAAATGTAAAGTGTACAATTATAAAATTATATATATGTATATGAATGTGTATATATATATATATCTATTTATATTATACATTACATCTCTCAAGAAGTATTCATAATAATTAACCAAGAATATATAACAGATGTATTTTTAATGCAATTTTATTGTTGGAGGCTTAATTTACTTGTATTACTTTGTAAAAACAAAAAGAGATTAAATTATGTGTTTTGAAATATCCACATTTCGTTTTATTTTACTTCATCAATGTTATTTCTAAAAATACTTATAATTTAAAAGGGCGGCTGTTATCAGCTGTTTTTTCTTTCTTCATTTTTTTCAATTATATATAATTTTTTATAAATTCACAAAAAAATAAAGCTGAGAGAAAACATGATTAACTAATACTGCTTATTGTTTGCAACAAAATCAACAAAATGAAATTCTATTTTTCTTCGTGTATTATCATATACTAAAGCTGCGTTCCGATATTCACTGCCAGCACTGAAAATCTATAGTATATGTGACATAAACGATACATGTCAATACAGGCAGTGAATTTTGGAACACAGCCTATGGGCAAGAGCACAGGCTTTTACATAAAGCCAGCGGCACACAATGCTTGTTTTTGTGCTGGATTGCTTGCTGGATGAAAATACTGCGTTCTGATTGGCATTTCCATTCATCTTCGGAAATGTACCAATCAGAATGCAGTATTTTCATCCAGCAAGCAATCCAGCACGAAAACAAGCACCGTGTGCCGCTGGCTTAACACATAGACCGTGTTCCAAAATTCACTGCCAGCGCTGAAAAGTTATAGTTTACGTGACACAAACTATATATTTTCAGTACTGACAGTGAATTTTGGAACACAGCCATAATACATAACGCATAAAGGCTCGTCTACATTAGTTGTAATACCTCGTCTACAATAGAAGTCATAGAGTCGTAAGTCGTACAAATTGACTAATCGCGGTCGATTATTTTTCTCTTTTTTACCAGATTACCAGATTATTTACCAGATTATGATTGGTCAATTTCTACGACTTACGACTCTACGACTTCTATTGTAGACGAGGTATAAAGGTCATTCTACAATGAGGTTGTAGTAATATGCAGTAGGCAAATTGACCAATCACGATCGATTGTTCTCTTTACGATCGAAGAAAAATCGACTGACACATATTGATGACACGTAGAATGACCTTAAAGGTCATTCTACAATACGTGTCGTAAGTTGTAAGTCGTAAGAATTGGGGAATCATAGTCAATTATTACAAAAATAATCGGCTATAATTGGTCAGTTCTTACGGCTTACAACTTACGACACGTATTGTAGAATGACCTTTCAAGTAAGGCTGTAAGGTTGCAAGATACGAAATGAAATATTTTCATTCGCTGACAGCTTACGTTACAGCTAATGTAGACGAGCCTTAAGCTGTCAGCGAATGAAAATATTTCATTTCGTGTCTTGCAACCTTACAGCCTAAAGACCTATCCAGACAAACTTGCATAAGTGCGTAACGCATATGCATAAGGAAATTGACTAATTGTATGTTTAATACAAAAAATATTTTTTTTCTACACGGATCATAATTGGTCAATTTCCTTATGCATATGCGTTACGCGCTTATGCAAGTTTGTCTGGATAGACCTTAAGGGCCAGAGCACAGACTTTTGCATAACGCATAATACACAACGCAGAGAATCAACCAATCAGAGTTCTTCATTTCTATCTTGAGGAGGGAAATGAAGAAAACTAATTGGTTTATTCTATTAGGCTAATATTACATTTATCGTACGACAATCTTTTCGAATACATTGATTGGTTAACAAACAGAATATTTCTAGGATTGCTCTGCATACGCCAATCAATGTATCCAAAAAGCTTGTTGTACGACACATGTAATATTAGCCTTATGCGTTATGTATTATGTGTAATGCAAAAGCCTGTGCTCTTGCCCTTACTCTTACAGCTAATGTAGACGAGCCTTTAGACTCCAAATAAGGAATGTCGTCGTGGTGATTCGTACATACTGGTGCCCAGTAATTGCTTAGTAGAAAACCTCTTGGTTATAAAATATAAGAAAATAAACCAATCGGAATTCCTTTATTTATAGATTGGAAGATTTTGATTGATTTATTTTCTTATGTGTTATGACTAAAGTCAGCGGCACACTGTGCTTGTTTCGTGCTAAATTGCTTGCTGGATGAAAATACTGCGTTCTGATTGGTGCATTTCCATCCATCTTCGGAAATATACCAATCATAATACAGTATTTTCATCCAGCAAGTAATCCAGCACGAAACAAGCACCGTGTGCCGCTGGCTTTAGATTGTAGAACAAGAGTCGAGTTTTGAGGAAAAGTCTGTTTCCATGACTCAAAGTTCCCTAGTAACTTTTTCATGAATACCTAACTTAATACTTTCCTTTTCGATGTGATGTTATTCTGTGTATATGTACGCTAATTTCTGTTCAAAGCGTCGTTAAGGACGTCCTACAATTTTGACGAAGAGTTTTTGCTTGTAATATCAATATTTTATGAAATCATTTACTAAACAAGATAAGTTTTTATAACTAAAAAAATAATTATATCGAAATATAGGACACTACCAGGATATTCGATATCTTTTCATAAATATTTTACAAAGCGTTTTTGACATTCTTAAATGGAGGAGAGACAAGCAGAAAATGTGTAAGTCTCTACTTATTGTCAAAGCTTAATAAGAAAACAAATTAAATATGAAATTATGTTAAAGTAAGTCTTATAATTGTATGTGTTTTATATATGTTATATATAAATTTTCATACAATTTATAACTTTGCAGAACCATTACATGTATTAGAGTCATTTGTAAAAATTCAGAAACTTTTTTGTTCTCTAGAATTCCTGTAGACTTAGAAAGTACTAGTGAAGTTATAGCTAGCTTAGAAATGCTCAGTGTCGGTACTAAGTGCCCATCACCTACAGAGACTAAGAGGATACTTAGAAAAAGAATACCTAAACTTGTTTCTACAGAAGTTTCTAATCGAAGGTAATATATTTTAGGATTGAATTATGATATATGTTTATGTTATAATTTTTTTAATGTTATATGCTTGCATATATAAGATGTAGCCTCAGACCAAAAAAGCGGATGTTAAACCGAAGCAGTTTAGAAGAAAACATTAAGGAATACTATTTAGATAAAAACATAAAAAGAAAACCAAATAATCTTGAGACAATTTATGAAGAGAATGATGACACAAGTGGCAATTCAAAATATATGAGTGCAAAAAGATTCAAGAGAATGTTACTGTTCAAAACTGAACCTACTGCTTCTAAGTTAAGAAAAAGACACGCAAAAGCACAGAAGGTTTTTGGATCTAAAGTTACAAAAAGTTACAACAAAAGGCGTGTTTCAATGCAGTCTATTTTAGATAAATTAGATGGTATTAAAACCAATTTATCAAGAGAAATGGATATCAAATGATATAATAAGTTTCTTTATATTGTGTATAAATACAATGACAGGCTTCAAGACTTCTGGACTTTTAAAGAAGTTGATACATTATATTCTTCAGGTTTATCTGAATTGCTTACTTCTATCAATCTATTACAATGGTATAAAAGATATTACATAAATATAAGGCATATTTCTTTAAAATTATATGATATGAAATATTAGTTATTTGCAAACATTTGAATAGATTTCTATATTCTAATTTAAATATACATTGATATACAAAATTATAAAATCTTATATAAAAATAAGTTCTTATATATGTAAATATCTTTTGTATTACTTTTTGAGATTTCTCATTGTTACAATATAGATGTATAGAGTACAGGTAATAATATATATCCTCTATATAAGTAAAATATTCGTACCATATTGCATTTGCAGATTAATTTAAGAGCTAAGTATTTATTTAGTTAAACAATAGAAACTACTAGTTTTCATAAGCATATCAAGTTGCTGCAGCATATATAGAAGAAAATCATTTTGTTATTAATACAATAAGATAGGAAAGAAGAGACTGAAAATTTAAAGATTTTAGTGAAACATTTTTTAGTTGAAAAATATAAACTGCCATTGTTTACTCTTACTTCTTTACTCTTATATGTACACATATCCTAATTTGTACATCATATATTATATACTTGATTATATTAAGACACTGATATAGTGTTTCTAATCTATAATTTTTATAATATACCATTATGTTTTACATAGTTTTGTATAAAATTTGTACTTATTTTGATTATACTTGTATTAAATTATATAAAAGGCACTGGCTTAAATGGATATAAAATTACAAATCTAAAACAAGCTCAAGGAATGTGAGACAATATGAAAAATTATGTACAATTGTTTTAAAAGGATTGCTATTATGCATATATATTGTAAAAATAAAATACAAATATTTATAATTGTAAAAATATAGAAATACTGTATATTAATTAATATTTGTTTATATTATATTCTATTTCATTTCCACAATGCATTTTGTTGCATATTTTGCACAGCCATTATATTCTCTCAACATAGCTTTGTTCTCTTCATATTCCTTACTATCAAGTTTAATACAGGCACATCTAGATGGCATATTTGCAGTCTCAAATAGCATTCTTGGTACTCCTACCCAATCTCTATCAATTCCACCACTATTGAACATAACAGATTATAGAACATAAGATTATATAATGCTATGTTTTAAACAATTTTAACATATGATTAATACATATATGTATCAAATATATCCTTACCTTTTTTTACTACACCAGAATACAGTACCAATATCTGGAGTCCATTCTATATTACAAGGTGGAAACATTCTTTTTTGCTTCTCTTCTAATGATTCAATTTTTTTAGCTAGCAGTACTGTTTCTTGTACTTTATAAGATTCTGCAGTTGGACTACCATCTTTGTTATAATATCTGCCATATAATTTCCCTGAAAAATACAAAATATGCTGAATTGTTACATTCAAGTTGATTTACCTTTATTATATAATCTTTATATATAATTCTACTATATTTTTTATAAATTATATCTGTAGAATAAAATATATCTATATATACATGCTAGATAAACTAATAAAAAATAATACGATTTGACTCTTAAGATAAAATTATTAAAGGAGACAAATTAATTATTTTTATTGTTTCAGTGTTTCATAGTAATTTAAATAATTATCTGTATACCTTTATAGACATAGTTTGTGTTATAAAATTCTATCCAATCATTCAACATCTTAACTTGTTGCACAGACAAACTAGATATGTCATCAGTTAAACTATTATCATCAAATTCTCCAGTAATAAATGCTAAAGAAGCATCACGACCTGTAATTAGATAATTATGTATAACATATATTGTACTTATTTTGGTATAAGAAATTTATATTTATTTACCAGTGAAAAAGTGATAATTTCCTCCAGGCCCATAGTGTTTTTGACCTTTTGTTACATCGAAAACTTGTCCTAAAATTGAAAGATACAAACCATTCTCCAAATTTGTGTATTGTTCCAATTCACTTGTAGTAAATATCCTCTGCCCAGCAAAATTTCCATTTATTGCAATGTATATCATGTCAACTATATTTAATGGTCCATCTGTCAAATGTGTTTTTATGTTCTTAATAAAGTCACGTGAGTATAAAAGATATGCAGTTCCGGAGAAAAGTGATAACCAAAGATACTTGGAAAACATTGTGTTGTTTACAAACATTTAAAAACACTTATATGTGTGTATGCACTCTGTCACAATTTTTAATAACATTTCTTATGTATAAAACTAGTTCTATTTCAATTTTTAGTTATATCAAGAAGTTTGTTCTTTATAGCTGCACTGTTGAACTAGTGCAATAAGTTAAAATAAGACAACTATATTTTTTCTTACTCTAACGTATTGAACTAATTCAGCAATGCAACTATAAAGAACAGACCCAAGATATCTTGCAGAGAAGAGAAACCGAGTAAGGGCCAGAGCATAGACTTCTGCATAACACATAATACACAACGCATAAGAGAATCAACCAATCAGAGTTCTTCATTTCTGTCCTGAGGAGGGAAATGAAGAAAACTAATTGGTTTATTCTCTTGTGCATTATGTATTATACGTTATGCAAAAGCCTGTGCTCTTGCCTTTATTCTTATAATAATCGATTGTGGTTGGTCTATCTCTTACTGCTTACGCTTAGAACCTTAAGCCAGCGGCACACGGTGCTTGTTTTCGTGCTAGATTGCTTGCTGGATGAAAATACTGCGTTCTAATTGGTGCATTTCCATCCACCTTCGGAAATGTACCAATCAAAACACAGCATTTTTATCCAGCAAGCAATCCAGCACAAAACAAGCACCGTGTGCCGCTGGTTTTATTCTTGCAGCCATTGTAGATGGGCCTTAAGCGTGGTCTACAATGGCCGTAAGCAATAAGAAGAAAGCGTAAAGCCAATGGCACACGGTGCTTGTTTTCGTGCTGGATTGCTTGCTGGATGAAAATACTGCGTTCTGATCGGTACTTTTCCGAAGATGGATGGAAATGCACCAATCAGAACGCAGTATTTTCATCCAGCAAGCAATCCAGCACGAAACAAGCACAGTGTGCCGTTGGCTTAAGAAATGGACCAACCACAGTTGATTATTTTTGTCATAATCGACTGTGATTGGTTTATTTCTTACCGCTTACGCTTATTTCTTACTGCTTACTGTCATTGTAGACGACGCTTTAGATTCTAGAGACTCTCCTTAAGCGCGCTAAAGTATAAAATTGAGTGATTTTAAAAAAATATTTTATTGAGATAACGCAACATGATGAAAAAATGACAAGAATAAAATTTTTGGCATTTGAGAAAGGGAGGTATTATTTCAAAAAAGAATAATTAATAAAAAGGATATTATTTATTATATGAGACAAATATCCTACCCAAAGAAGCTAGTTTCAGTTTTGGTTGATCAGAATAAATTGGATTGGATTAGAAATAAATTGTATATATTTGATTAGATTTCAATTAAATTGAAAATAATGTTAAAAATTGAAATAGACTTAACACTGCTATTCAGAAATATATTTTATAGAGAATAACTGTTACAAAAAAATGTATAAAAAAACCATAAAGCATAAAACAACAGAAATATAAAAAAAACAGCTATATAATTAAGATTTTTTATTATATGCACAATATTGCTTTATTATTTACTGATTATTCAAAGTAGAAGGGATAATTCTGTCAAAGAAGTACATTTGTCACAATGGTAGCTTTATGTTTATATTTAAAGAGGAATTCATGTGATTAGAAAATAAAATAAAAAAATAACCTTATACATCAAATATTATTATGCCAGTCTGTAATGTAACTCATGTTCTTTTTTCACGTAAGTTTATAAACAAATTATTTTACTTCAGATTAAAGTATCTTTCTTTGTCTACCTATTTATTCTACTCACAGGAAAAAGTATTGGCAGTTTAAATAATATTAAATGTTACATCAAACTCTAGTTAATAACTGCCTGATCCATAGTAGTGCTATGCATTTTATTCGTCAGTTTAAATGGTGTATGTTTTCTCTATTTGCTACTGCAATAATAATATTGTACATGATGTATCTGTACATAAATTTTTTGGTTACCGCTAGAAAGTCTCCTCCCCAAATCTTATTTAAAGAAACAGAACTCATGAAACTTGTTTCTTATGAAAAACATCTTCTAGGGAAAGGCTTTACTTACAAACAGGTAAAATGCTCAGCTTTCTCACATTATTATTTTATCTTATAAACATGCTAATAAAATAATTTTGTATAATAGTTTTATTGCATTAGTAACAATATTTATATTGTCTTCATATAATACTATTATGACTTGTTTCCATCAGATAAAAAACATGTCTCTTCTTGGAAAATGGTTGTTGGCACCAGAAAAAAGTCTACCACCGGCGAACAACCCCAAAGAAAATTATTTAATCCTAATATGGCAGCATGGAAAACACTTAGCAAACAGGCACATCAAACGATTTTCGAACAAGATGTCAGTTTTCATCCTTAATTTTATCAATCGAAAGGATTGTATTCTTTAGATCAATACAAAAAAATATGATTGTTCTTAATTTCTGTAGTAGAGAACTTAAAACTAAGATAAATGAAACTATAATTTTCAGGTATTCACCATGGGAGAATTGTTCGGTACAAAATTGTATACTAAGTTACGAAGACAAGGATTTGCATCAAGCACATGCTGTGATATTTCATGTTCAGTTTATGTTACATGCCTCAAATATGCCACTAAGAAGTCGAGTTGATCAACGATGGATAATACTGATGGATGAATCACCCATGTATCTCCTCTCCTCATCCCAGGAAACATCAAATTATGATGGTCTATTCAACTGGACTATGACCTATCGAATGAACAGTGATGTACCTGTTCCATATGGCAGAACATTAAAGAAGGAATCAATAAATTTTCAGTACTATCCATGGATTTCCAAGCCGTTTTGGAAAACCAACATGATGAGTTCCAAAACTAAGCTACTTGCTGTGATGATCAGCCATTGTGATAGCAAGAATCAACGGCTAAAGTATGTAGAAGCACTTAAATCATTGCTACAGGACCGTTTGGAAATAATTGGTCACTGCATGAATGGCAATAGTACCGTTTGTCCATATCATTTCACCAAGGACTGTTCAGTTTTAAGTTCATACAAATTCTACCTTTCATTCGAGAACTCCAATTGCCGTGAATACATAACGGAGAAGGTGTTCTGGAATGCGTTTCACAAGTACGCAGTCCCAATAATAATGGGAGCGCCGTTAGAGGACTGCCAACGGTTGTTACCACCAAGCTCTTACCTTCATGTGGACAATTTTCATAATGCGAACATGCTCGTTAAATACCTTCATTATTTGGATCGCGATAATGAACGATATCTGAAGTATCATGAATGGCGTGACAACTATATATTGCTTAACGAGCACGGGTACTTCGGTAGCGCATCCAAGCACTACTGTCGCGTTTGCGAGGCTTTAAATTACAATCCCAACACAGTGAAGGTTTATAAGAAGCTTGATAATTTTTGGAACAAGGATAGGGATTGCATCTCATTATTATAATACTCATTTTAACTCTGTTTAACTACTCTACTGATTTTTATTGCACATATTGAATATAAATGTAAATATACACGAATAAGATAATATAATTCCATTGGAGATATTTGTGATGTAAGATTATTAATTATTTTATTAATGTTAATTGTTGCATTATTATTTTTTATGTCTGAATTGAAATATAGAAAGTCAAATGTGTGTTTCTGCAGCATTTAAATCGTTTGCATAATTTAATCTCTTAAGATGTTAAAATTCAAGAACTTTTTATTTCAAAATATTTCAACTTGAGAAAGCAAAAAGTAGGGAAAGTTTGTTTACAACTCTATTAATTATAATTATTGCATTAAAATCAAGTAAATATGTGTGTGTGTGTGTGCGCGTGTGTGTGCGCGTGTGTGTGTGTATGCTTGACACATGTAGAAAGAGGAGGGGGAGAGAGAGAGAGAGAGAGAGAGAGAGAGAGAGAGAGAGAGAGAGAGAAAGAGAAATAAAAATTGTCGGAAGATAGATGATTCAGAAAGCGCAGCTTTTTACAATAGGTGGAAACTTATGATATTTATTACGTGTGCTGCTCCGCGTGGAAGTACGTTGCAAGTAGCAAACGTGCATGCGTGACATTCGATTTGTTTTTATCGTGTAGTAACCGCCTACGTGAATGAACGTTTGGTAATTGCAGAACGAGATACTTTTCATACATATCTTCTGACGAAGAAACCAAAAGAGAAAGAAAAAGAACGAAGACGAACGTGTACTATAGTGAGAAAGCGAGCGAGTGTACGCAACCCAGATCGTGAACGAAAGAACGATGGCAAGACTCTTGAACGTTTGGCGGGAGGATAAGCCGAGAGACTTGCTGTCCAGCAAGCAAATGCTGTTGAATGTCGACGAGAATTTGACAGTAAGCACAATGTTGTCACTCACATGATAATTATATGATGTGACAATGCCTTATGTAATGAGAGATGCCTGCCCTTTACGATAGTTTTTTCGCAACTAACCTAAATTCCGACACGACTAAAAATGCATATTTGTCGAGATTGATCATGATCCCGTTGCATGTTATCATGCTGCTTTCTATCCGTTTGTCTGTACAATCGATTGAATGGTCATCAAATGATGTCCATTCGATTTTGTTAAAATCACTGACAATACAATAGAATGATATATTACCTTTATCGCACTTGTATTATCACTTATGGATGATGATTGTAGAATCTTTCTATTATAATTACTATTATTTATTATTATTCACTATGATGTAACTTCTAAAATTTAATATCTAGTCCTTATCTTCTATTTTTAGATGGTGATGGATATAAAAAATTTAGGAGCAATCTGTGATAATCCTATAATCCGTGGGAAATATTTACAGGAGTTTGTAAAAAAATTGGAAATACTTACAAAGGAAGAAATTAAAGCATCCTTTGAGGTTACATGCAAGGACATGCTTGCTATTTTGAGCGAAACTGTACCATGTGTAGGTTGTCGAAGAAGGTATGTGATTGTTTCTTTCATTAGAATAAAAATTTACTGCTGTAAATAATATAAGAATATTCTGTTTAGTGTTGAAAGACTATTATATGATTTAATGAAGTCTGGACATCCTGCATTAGATCCACTAGTTATTACTCCTGGTGGTCTGCTTTCAATTAAGGATGATGTACTAGAATCGCCTGAGCAACTTTGTACAATGTTACATGGACACAGGTCTTATTTTGATGATATTATTGAAGATATGTACACTTAGAACTATCTTTATCATTTGAATGTTTCTTCAACAGCACTAGATTAAGTAATTTAGTAGAGCAACAACCAAGAAATAGGAAATCTCAACGATGTATATTGCATTCTTTGGAAATTCAACGAATGCGACCTCCACCGAACGCATGGAAGGAAGTTTGGGAGTGTATGGAAAAACCATGCCAAGAGGAACTCGCCTTGATAGAGACTGATATACTAGATGAGACATTAGATATTTATCTACGTAAACATAGGTATAATTCTATGCATTTTACAGAGTGTATCAACTACATAACTTTACTAATAAGCTTGTAAATTTGGCAGATTTTGTGCAGAGTGCCGCAACAAGGTATTATTAGCATCCTCTCTTCTAACAAGGGAGCCCGACCCCACAAAAGAAAAAGGCTATGTATCTATTTTGTACACCGGTATTAGACGTTGTATAGCCGATCATCACATTCACTTACCAACCATGACGAATTACATCGGTACCATTATCGGTCGCGCACAGCCAGAACTCATGGGAAGGTACAGATTTATAACATCTACGTTAGTGTAATAATCTGCAAGGAAAAGAAAAATGTAACATTGATTTCAGAGAGCGTCATGCGAAGACATTGGAAATTGCTCAAGAGGAAGTACTTACATGTTTAGGCATATGTATGGCGGAACGTTTACATAAAGTCCATCGACGGTTGAGAGAAGAGGAGACTGTGTGTAAAGTATTAGCTGCTGTTGCAATAGATGCATTGTCTAGAAATTTTCAGGTAATATTCGTCAGAAAAATGAAGTTTCTAATTGTTTCTGAACTATTATGAAGCTAGAAATTTTTTTTAATCTGATCTTTATTTCTATGTTCTGGAAAATTGAATATTTTGTCTTATTGCAGATGGCAGTCGAGATGAAGCAAGGTTTTACGCAATTAGAACTATTATATGAAGAATTCACGAGGGAAGAAATAGCGAAACAGCAGAAACGTGAGAAGTTACGGCTCAAACGTAAGAAGCAGAAGGAACGTCGTTACGAGACCGAGACCGAGGAGAAGGAAAATACCTGTAATGTATGTGTTGCAAGATATCTCTCTCTTCAAAATAGAGACAAATTGAATTTTACTTTAGTATTTATTTTACTTTAGTGTCTTTTAACTTCATTTTATTTTAGTGTTCAAGCGAGAGACAAAATGGTGATAGCCAATCCTGTATCTGTGCGGAATTGAAATCAGCAACGCAAAATATTGACCGACATAAGGTACAAAGGAGATTAATGTAACTTCGTATAACTCACACACTTGTTTATATTCTCCTACATACTAGCGCGTCTCGTAATCTCAGTTGCAAGTTTTAGATCCAAAAAACAAAGGTATGCGGACGTGCAAATGCCCCGATTGTTCGAACAAAACGAAAACACCAAGTATATCGCAATCGCAAGATAAAACCGAACAAGCATTCCCTGTAAAAAAGACGACGACTTCACAGAAGACTATGATTAAAGATTCCTCTGAGACGAAGATGAAACCTGACATGAATGAATCTGAACGGAGTAGCTTATCTTACGAACAATTTCCTCAGGAGATTTCATCGGATATCTCCGAGTCGTGTAAGGTAAGCTGCAGAATTCAATTTCGCACAATTTGTAAATACATTGATATCTGAAAAATATAGCATTCTGAAATTCTTTTTTGCACAAAGAACTTAGGTATGAAATCCGATGAAACTCAGTGGAATTATGACGACGATTGTAAGAATTTCGTGACGAAGGAATTGTTAGACGCTTGGATCGCGAAACCCCGTGCAAAAAGTAAATACACCATGTGGATAGAAATGAGGAAACGTTTCAAATTGTCTGAGAGGGAAGGTCGCTCTAACAGCGAGCAATCCTCCCAAGATTGTGGGTATTCTTCCGAACAAAATATCAGTAGTTCTTCTCTTCCTAGCACTCCAGATGGCTTTGAACTAGCCTGCAACGATGCATGTTGTAAGCATGGTGGATATTGTTACGATCTACAGTCATGTGATAAACTTATTCATTCCGATTCTAGCATCTCTTTATTGAAGAAGAGAGGCGGCGGTTTGACACTTATGCAAATGTTAGAGGTATATTTGAAGTGTATTGTTATCTTGAATATTTAACCTCTTGAGTGCTATGGATGCATATATACTTCCGACAGGTATCGGCGTAGACATGCATCCTACAAGATTTGTTTGGTTCATACTCTTGGTATCGCCATAGACATGCATCCTACAAGATTTGTTTGGTTCATACTTTTGGTATATATACAAGTAACAGTTATCAACTGTTGCTATAGGCATTTTACATTCATGTTTTTTTATGTATAGTTTAGCGACAGTAATAAATAAAATTGATCATGCGACAGTCTAAATATTCTCAACGACTGTTTAGCTCTGAAGTGCTCCGCACTCAAAAGGTTAATTTTTCTTTTTTCCTTTTTAAATTCTCCGTTTTGTTCTTAGGATTCCTACTTGTATGATGATAGCAACGACGACGAGGAGAGTCATATTCCAGCGGAAGAAATATTGGAATTCAAATCGCGGATGTGTCAAGTTACAGAAAAGCGGCAGGAACTTCGGCAAACACTTAGAGAACGTTTTGCTGTCTTATGTAGCCATATGAAACCATTTATCATGCATCAATAAGAATTTCTGGTTGAGATATTGCAATATGGTATAGCATACCATATTTTTTCTGTTTTATCAGATAATGAGACATAAGTATAATAAATATATTTTGGACTGTTATCGCTTGAGGTCTACTTGTTATATGAAATAAAATGCTGGGAATTATTCAGAGAAAAAGAAAAAAACGGAATTGTGACACTATACGATTCATCTACAAACAGAGAGCTGCGTTTCGAGATAAACATAGATATACCAGAAGAAAAAGAAATTATTAATGTCGCATTGAATTTTCATTGTGTTTTCAATAAAAAAAGCAAATCTTAAACTGTCATTAAACAGCGTGTTCGACAGAACACAATGCAAATAGAAGCATTATAGGACTATTATACATAAATCAAATTATATGGATTTGTGCAATTTTGAAGCGAGTATTGCTATTTTGTATGAGCATGCCTTGACTATGATATGGCAGATACCTGATTCCACACGCAGTGCGGGTGCAAATTACATATTACATGTACAAGCTTTAGATGATTACTGGTACTTGAAGAATACTGTGTTTTTTTCAGACCTTAAAGTTATGTGATTTCTGGTTTATGAAGACTTATATCCGTATTGTAAAAGTAGGAACGAGCAACTGACAATTGCCACAATTATAATATAAAATAAACGTTGCATTCCATTTTATATATGTATATGTATGTATAATATATATATATATATATATTTTATTATTCCAAATGTACATCCTTTCCATGTAATTACATTATACATACATACTGTAAGATTATATAAAAATATTTATCGTAAAATCATATTTACAAATTGTATGTTGCATAAAAATTATTAAAAATATTTAAACTGCTATCCACACATTGATACTTACGTGTGAAATTCCATTCACCATCAAATCTCTGCTTCTTTGTGTTCAGTTGTATGTACATATCACATAACAAACCTTACAGCCAGTAGTGATTCCTTATTATGCTCCCATTATTGTCTTAATATTCTCACTCTTAGAATCCACTTTAGGAAATTGCTAATCGTTACTATTACACCACTATAAGACACCACGTAATAAGGTTACGCCAGATGCAATCATAATTGAATCTGTTCAATCGACATATTGCGTGAAGCATAAGCATGCATTCGTCCCACCGAAACCGAACGCGTTCTTCAGAGCGGTTCGACGTGTGGTAGAATACCACTTTGTTTTCGTGTGAGCTGCGAACCTTAGGCGCGTCTCCATGTCCAGGTTGTGCAAATTCAATGTAGGCGGTATGATGCCCTCCTTGATCGCCAAGATCGTAAAAACAGCCTCCAGATTGCCGGCGGCTCCCAACAAGTGACCATGAGCTCCTTTGGTGCTCGTCACCGTCACATTTCTACTATGCTCGCCCATCAATGACTCTATCGCTTTCAGCTCGATTCCGTCGCCCAACGGTGTGGACGTGGCATGCGCATTTACAAACGTCACCTCCGAACTCTCGATGCCGGCATCCTTTACCGTTCTATCCATCGCCAACAATGCACCGATACCGTCTTCGCTGGGCGCTGTAATGTGTGATGCGTCGCCGGATAGCCCATATCCCAGCACTTCCGCGTAGATGGGCACGTTTCGGGCTAAAGCGTGATTCAGCTCCTCCAACACGAGTATCGCGGCGCCCTCGCCCATGACGAAACCGTCGCGATCTTTATCAAACGGTCTTGACGCTTCTCGCGGAGAATCGTTTTTCGAAGTGCTCAACGCTCGCAGCCGACAGAACGCAGCTATTGCCAACGGACTGATGCACGCCTCCGCACCACCGCATACCATCACGCTGGTCTCACCGCCGCGGATAAAACGGAATGCATCACCTGAAAGCATGACAAACGGGATTACTACATATCTCAAGCACAGTGTGTAGCATTTGATAATTAGAAGCTTTTAATGTTGATTGATTACCAATAGCATGCGCGCCTGTCGCACAAGCGGTTGACACAGAGTGATTTGGTCCACGGAAGCCATACTTGATACTGATCTGTCCAGCAGCCATGTTCGGTAATATTCTGGGTATAAAGAATGGGCTGACTTTGCTATAGCCCTTCTTTAAAGCTTCGTAAGTCATGCATACATCTACCAGGTCTATCATGCCAATTCCTATTGAAACTCCAGTGTCACGTTTATCATTTTCATTGTCTGGTTTCCACTTTGCATCTGTGAGTGCTTCCTCCGAAGCTATCATCGCGTATGCCGTGGCAGGACACATTGTGCGTAACTCACTCTTTGTAAAGTGGGTGTCAATGTTGAGCTGATGAAAAGCATTTCCTTTTGGAACCAGTGCAGCTATGGATTAAGTTACTGCTTAATTATTGTATGCATATGTAATAATATATTTTCGAATGACTTTAAATATAATGGAGTTTTATAATGGAAATTTAGAATCATTTTTTTATTTATATATAATATATATGTTTCATTCACACAACACATCCTGATATGGTTCCAGAGTTTCTCTTGTACGTGATAACAATAGATTATAAGTACCGCTTACCTACTTTACAAGGTAGCTTCTCGTAATCAGGTTCAGACAGTTTTATGATTCCGCATTTGGAATTAATGAGAGCTTCCCAGGCATTTCGCGTTCCAACTCCTAAAGGACATACAACTCCTATGCCGGTGACAACAACACGCCGTTTTGACCGAGTAGCGGCTGTCAATAACCGAGAGATGGTCAAAAGTGGAACGGACATCATAATTTTAGAGAAAACTTTTAAGATGTTTCGGTTTTAATTATACAAATTACTTTTCGAATGTATATATCATAATTATTCGAATATAGATACGTTTGAAATATACCGAATACATTGAGGTTACATTTCTTGTTTTCGTTTAGTCTCTCTCCATCTTTCTTTCTCTCTTTTTCTCTTAACATGTGGGCATGTGGCTCCGCCCAATGAAAACCGCTCGATGAGCGATTAGTGACTATTGGTCCTTCCTGTTAGATCCTTACATTCAGACCAATAACGTTGACGAATTACTCAATAGTTGCGTAAAGCCAGCGGCACACGGTGCTTGTTTTCGTGCTGGATTGCTTGCTGGATGAAAATACTGCGTTCTCATTGGTACATTTCCGAAGATTGATGGAAATGCACCAATCAGAACGCAGTATTTTCATCCAGCAAGCAATCCAGCACGGAAACAAGCATCATGTGCCGCTGGCTTAACTGTTGAGTGTCGTGAACGCACCCAGTTATTCAACGGCTGCGTTCAGCAAACAAAGTGATTGGTAAATACTTCTGGGTCTATGAAGAATCTAAAAGAATGCTCCAATCACAGACAATAATCACTAAGCGCTCACTGATCACTTTGTTCTACTGAACGCAGCCAATTGCTCAACCGTTGAGTGACGTGCGCACCCAATAAGAATACTTTTTCACTAATAACACAGTCATTTCATTGGTTCATAGTCATATCAGTTTCAGATAATGGTTAGCCAATAAAATAGCATTATATTAACCAATGAAATCATAAATTTCAACACCGCTGATTGTTTATTGTTATATATATTGGTTTATCGTTAAATAATGCTTCACGATCACTCGCGGTAACATTAATAGATTATCCGTTGATAGATTCGTTAGTAGATTGTTCGGACTCATTTACTAATGCTTTTCTGTACATATTTGTAATAAAATATTTATAGTAAAACTGCAGTTTGCTCACGTATATTCGCTAATTTAGGTATGTATATAAATGTGTAAATAGCGAAAAAAATTTTTTTATTTGTGGTTCTATTCACCATTCTAAAAAATATTCGCATCAGCTTTCACGAATACATCATGTTAGGAATGTCCAAGAGCATGCCGTTTGAAATTTTCTTTTCAATTATGTTTTTCTATTTTTAATTATTTATTGGCAAAATATTAAAATTTGTTGTCATATTATCTGATTAAATTTTATAGTAACATTTATTTAATTTAATATTCCTTTCTTATTTATAGATACATATCTTTTGCAAATATTTCAAACTTTCTCTATAAAGTAAGTTTACTGTCACTTGTTTGTACTTGTACAACTGTATATCTTTCAATATTATCATAAGATTAAGGATTGAAAGTTAATACTAAATATATTATTTGTAAATATAGTTTTTTCTCTAGAACTTCTAACTATAACTTCTAATAATAATAAGATCAATCTATATTCATGATAAGAATAATAAGAATAAGAATGATAAAAAGCTGAAAATACGCTCAAAAACTTTATTTTGGTTTGCTTCGTAATTGGGAAAAATATATATATAATGTCACATGTACCTGTAGGAACTTTGGGCTACAGATTATGTTGAAGACCATCAACGCTTGGGTAACATATAAAAAAAAAGAAAAAAAGAAAAGAACGACTAAAAACGTGTCAGTATGCTACCAATAAAATAAAAAAAAGGAAAAAACTTCTTATATCTACATATTAAGCCTAACGCTTTCTTAAATCTAAATTTACACATTGGTAACAAATGTAAATATAAAATATTGTATGTGATTGGATACGCACTTTTTATGTTCGAATGGATAATGAATGCATACTGAACCTGTGCAGCCTGTACGTTTTAATGCAAAACGCAAACCGTCGAGTAAGTCAGAATTGAGAGAGAAAAGCAAAATGACAGATAAAGAGAAAGGAAGGAGGGAGAGAGAGAGAGAGAGAGAGAGAGAAAGAGAGAGAGAGAAAACAAAAAGAGAATAATCTATATGTTTATGAAACATAGAAAAAGTGTGTAATTTAGATGCCTAAAATCCATTCAAATGTTTAAAATCTAACTTGAGAAAAGAATCTTATCTAAGAGCAGATTAAGAAAACAGGAAATATATCCTATTTGTACAGGATTGTATATGTATATCATTGATGAAATATTCAATTATATTCTCGATTATACAAAAGAAATATAATATGTATAAATAGAAAATACTCCTCCCGTACAAGGTAACATAATCCACTGTGTAATAATTGTAAATGACATTTCGTAGCATCATCGATTTTTTGTCATAAGTATCAAAATAATTTACTGTAATAACGATACCAACTTCATTATATACATCAATCGTCATCCCAATGAACATCTGTCTCCTTTCCAGACTGTCGTTAACTCTCATAAAAATGTCATGTCGTTATGCGGATACCGGTCCCACCTTGACCTACCTTGCCAATTAAATAAATTGATAATAGAACACAATTCTCTTGTTTCATAAATTCACAATTTTATATATATGTTGTGTATATATATGCACGTATATATATATAAAATTAAAATTCATTTCTCTCTCTCTCTCTCTCTCTCTCTCTCTCTCCTACTTCTCGATCATACAGCAAAAAGATGAAATATCGAATATGAACAAATGCATATTTTCATCACTTATTATTTATTATTAACTTTAGAAAAGAAAGGATTATACACAATATATATATATATATATATATATATATATATATATATACATATGTGTATGTATATACTATAAGATTAAAATCTAACCTAGCACGCAGCTTATTTTATAAAATATACAGTCGTGTATTCTTTGTTATAGATCCAGATGGACCCGTATCCGCTGTCCGAGAAGTAAATGCTTCGATCCAGCAGGACGACATCTATTCGTTTTGACGAGGATCTGCCCGGTATTAAATTAATAAGGATATTTACGATAATGCAATACGACACTTTGACTCGAGCTCTCTCGTTTTCATAAGTAAGGCCCGAGGCTTCGAATCTACCCTCACGGATGGTCGTTGAGAGCAGCCAGTAATTTGGCAATCGTGCTGCATCGTAAAATAAACCGCACCCTCCTCGCGTTTTATACGTACGTTTATTCATACGTAGTCAGGAGTCTTAAAAATACGCGCCATCACCTTCGGCTATCTGCAGCTCTGTGTCGCTGAATGTAGATTATAGCCTTGACTAGATTCTTCTTCGGTTGTGCGCGCATTAAATATCATGTCGCCGTTAACCGGAGCAGATCTCGGAGTGTTCATCCCACGAGGCCACCTACCGATATATATGATAAATATATGATAAAAGTTCAGTAATAGTCTGCGGCATTCCGCCAGTTTTTGGCACTCTTGCTCAAATCTTATCAAATATTAAGGTATATATATGCGGGTTTATTAATTATTTATTAATAATTATTATTTATTTTTGTACTCAGGCACCTTAATTTGATAAAATTTACACATGAGTGCTGAAAATTGGCAATGAGCGCAGAGTGCCGACTATTAGAAATTTTTCTTTACGTATAAATAGGAATATAAAATAAATGAATAGTATAATACAATTTATATATATATATATTTCTATATAATCTCTTGTTTTCGATTGAAATACTTAAAGAAAATACTTTTCGTTTCTTATATTCTTTTAACTTTACCTGACATTCGCGACTGCAATACCATTGGTTTGCACATCCAGCGCAGACAAATTGCGCGGCTCGTTGATGACAACCTTGACATCGCGGGGGGTTGTCGCGATCTTCTCTAGCGTCTCTTCCGCTCATTGAATACTTGCCATCTCTATCATCACTTGCTGCAGTATCTTCTTCTACGTCATCCTGAAAATCTCAAAGAAATTATTCAAGAATCTGTATGTACGTGACAATATATTTATTTATTGGAACAATGATCTTACAACATTAATTACATTGTTGGAGTGGGACTGCGGAGGTGTATTGACAACAGGAGTTATGGTTATCTCCGTGCGAGCCTAAGAAAAGAAATATCTCGCGTTAGATAGACGTGTACTTGGCGCGAGATACTATGTCTTTAGATTTTTAATTGTTCAGAGAAGACGGCGGAATATTAATATTGACGTAAACAACGTAAATAGTAATATACCGTGGAGGAAGACAGTAGCTCGCTTATGGAACCCAGACTAGATCCTTGGTATGCCTGTAGAAGGTGCTGGGTGCCAGCCGTTTGTTGTGACATAGGCACCATCGGCGTCGTCGCAGCTGCCGTTGCCGCCGCTGCCGCTGCTGCTGCTGGAGAGTTCCTTTCTCTTTCAGGTGCCGTGAGCAATTTAGCCAAAGTAAGCGGAAAGTTGTTTGGCCTGGATGATGTATTGTTCGTCAGGATACCATGAAGAAGCGAGCGTGAAGGCGCAATGGTGTTCTCAGGCACGGGAGAAGCGTTGTGTCCTGACGGCACAGGTTGAAGCGTCACATCCGGATAATTTTGCGATGGTCTGGCTGGCTCACCTAAAAACAAGGTGATATTTACAATAAGGTGTTCTTATATTCGTATGAAATTTTATATAAATCTAAATATATTGCCGATTACAATTAGGACATTGGTGACTAGTTGATAACTGATTATGCACTTTGATCTTCATTTATTTAATTCATTTTGTCATTTATGTCGTTGTTGTGCAATGAATTTTGCGATCAATTAGAAACAAAAATTAAATTTTGTAAGATTGTTACCTTGATGTTGAGACAACCTGTTGAATTGGTATACCATTTCTCTAAAGTTCACGGTATTTTGGCACTCTGTTGCGCTCGGGTTACTCTTGCAGGAATCTGTGCTCGATGGTCTCGAATCTGCGTTATGTCCTGTTTCAACCATAGCACCGCCAGCAGTCAAATTAACGTTCACCGAATTCCTCGTCCTTCGCCCCCTATATTATAAAAATTATTTACTTACTGTCTGTTTGATAAGAATATATCTGGCATACTCGATAACTCGAAAATAATTTATTGTAATGATTTGGAAAAACCCATATACTTGGTTAGAACCGTGATGCTTTTTTAATGATTACTAATAATTTGTACCGCCGCTTGGCATAACATTTTCGATCCTTTCGGTGTATACAGAGGAATATGCCTTTGAATCGCGATACGTATGTAACACTCATGATGAAATATGTCTTTCTATTATGAAAATCGAACGACAACTGAAGCTTTTTCTACAAAGCATCTTAGGAGAACAGTTCCTCTATCAGCTTCTGTTGGAATTTTCCGTTTAACGGTTTCCATGTTAAAGTTTCGCCAGATATGCTCTTTTCAACTATAATTATTTACACAATATCGGTTATTATCTAATATTATTATTAAGTAAATTTATTTTGTTCCAACAAAGTTTCTTTCGCTCTAATTTTTCACTCGAACGTTTCTAATTGCAGATTATTATTATTTATTGAATTGTCTCTTTCCATCCCATAGCAATTCATCAGTTTTTATCTTTCTAGGATTTTCAAGATGCTATCGTTCAAGCAAGAATCATCATTACTTCTACATCTATATAGCATCATGTTCTCACTTAATATTTTTCTGTTCGGTAAGTTTATTAATTAATTCCATTATTTTTTTTGCTTTTGACGTACTCTATCAGAATAAACAAACGTAATACGTAAATTTCTTATAAATATAAAAATTATATTCTTCAATATTTCAATCTATCAAAAAATTCTAAAAATATAAATATTTCTATTACAAATCCAGCACATACATTATATTGTTATATTTTATTAAAAAATGTTTATTATATTTTATTTATATTTATTTATATTATCATTCAAATAAGCAGTTTAATTATATAATATTTTTTTACGTTTTGTTTATTTTCAGTTTTACACAATTATAGCTCTACACGATTATGAATCGCATAACGTTAAGCGCACATTTATTATAATAGATAAGAAATTGACTGATTGATATGTACCTCTTTGGCGCCGGATCTGGAAACATCTTCCTGTGATTGGCGATTATGGAAGTCACTTCTACCCTCGCACCTTGACGACCTTCGCCGAGCTGGCGGGTTTCCGGGCTCGATGTCTCGTTCTGCTTGCGGCTGTTTTCCCCACTGCTTTTCGAGGAAGCAGTCTGCCGCTGCGAGCCAACCTTCGCGACGTTTTGCTTTTTGGTGGATGACGCGTTTAGAGAACTTTCCTCAGAAAGTTCGCTTTTAAATTCGAAGGACCTCTCTCTCGATACAGTGTCCCTCGATGTTCCGTCGCTATTCATCCATCGTGCTTCCAAGCTGGTGGGCGGCACGTCCTCCGGTTGAGTCCCGCTATTCGTGAGTCTCATCATTTGCCTCTTTCTCTGGAGCCTCACGTACGCTTCTTCCGTCAGTTTTCTCGTGTACAGGATCTGATTCCATTCCTTTTCCTTATCTCGTGCCAATTTCTCGAGAAACTGTCACACACAAACACACATATACATGGTGAAGATTGGAGATCGACTAGCACAAACAATCCCCAGTAAACTCAATCAGCAGTAAACAATCCCGAGGAAAGATCATGATTTCGCATACTAACCTGCATCCGTTGAAGCAACTCATTTTCTCTTATCTCCAAAGCGTCGACCGTTTTCTCCTCGCCGACAAGACTCTTAATGGAGCTTTCCCGTTCCTCGTATGTGCAGCAAGTCTTTTTTGGCTTGGGAGGACCGTTCGTGGAGTCTTGTTGCCCATTCGGGGACTTCCGTTTCTTGCCGACGATTTCGGCCGACTTCGACCTGACAAGACGCGACGAGCCGGACTTCTGCTGCGAAGTACTCGCTATCGGCGTGCTTGTGATCGGGAAGCTCTTCTTATTGATCTTAACGTTCTGATGTGCTTCCTTCTCGATCTTTACACGACCGTAATCCAACGCCGACGGCGATGCGGCAGTCTCCTCAGGCAGAGCAGCACCGTTCTGCTGGCTTTGGGGCACCTTCGGTGACGTACTTGGCGCGTTCTCCGCCGCGTCCACATTCTTCCCGTTTCCGCTGGCACTCTCCATCGCGTGCATCTTGTTCAGGCTGCAACACACGTAAAGGAACGACTTGATGTATACTGGTAGTACGAAATCGATGTGCTCACACGATGAGCGTTCTTTTACGGATGAACCAATTGCGACTATGTTGCAAATTTAATCATATATTTGCATATCACATTTACTAATAATAATATAACAAAGTATTGTACATGTTAAAGCGTAAGATTTGTACAGTGGAATGAATGAGATTTGCAAAATATATGTACATACTTCTCCAAGTGGAACACGATGCGTTAACGATTACGCTTATATTTATTGATATTAAAAGATTAATATTAAAGAGGAGTGCTCATTTTCTTCTTGGTTTTCAATCGACACGCGAAATCCGACATGCCGACATGCTTCGACAGCAGTTTCTCGCGCGAAGGGAAGCACCGCGAAGGCAGCACGCGAGGCGTGCGCGTGCTTTAGAGAGAGAGAGAGAGAGAGAGAGAGAGAGAGAGAGAGAGAGAGAGAGAGAGAGAGAGACTGCTACCGCTGGAAGGTCGACGTCGGGCGATCGCGAAACATCCGCCCAGTGACGATGACATTGATAAACCGATAAGCGAGGCTAGTGAAGTCTCGGACGACCTTGCATAGAAAATAGTCGTTCGTCGGGACTCAAGGACGACGACGATGACGACGGTAACGGTGGCAGCGGCAGCGACGCGGTGAAGGCGCGCGCGCGCGCGCTATCACTCTCGCAACCATCTCGGCACACTTATTAATTCGCTCGCGCGGCGCAGTGTCCTCATGTATCGCGGCATAAATAAATCCTCATATCAAGACTTGATTAGCACGCCACTATAATTAGATGCTGCGGCTAACCGGCGCTCCATCGACGGTGGTCCGATTTACGAGCATCATGAGCGCGGTAGCGCGAAAAGGCGAAGCTTTTCGCAGAAGCAACGGCGGGAACTTCGGGCCGCACGATATATAGAGTTGGGAGTAATCGCGCCGCGATACGTTACGTGATGCACGTAATCGTACACGTGTCACTCGATCTGTCGAGCACATGCTACCCAGGCCGGCGTGCGCGCAGTCGTCCGCGCAGGAGTCCACGTGGGAAGGGATGATTGTTCGCGAATAATGCGCGTTCAAGTGCGATAATTCCACGACGGGTTTAAAGGGCTCGCGAGAACTTTACGGTAAACTTTACGAACTTGGTGCGCGTGTCGTCACGCTTGAGTCTCTATTCATAACCAGACGCTAAATTTATAGAAAGGACTCCGGAGAGTGTTCCCCCTCTTCCTCCCCCGCCCTTCCCGTCCCGTCCCACCATCACTTGCGCGTTGCGCCGTTTAAGCAACGCCAATGACGCCAGGCTGCATTCCCGCGTCCTCGCTCCGACACAAAGTGCATTCTTAGTCGAGAGCGCGGCCCTTTCCCCCTTGCGAAATCGATTTTCCTCTCGCGAAACGATCCGACTTCGAGGCGATCTCTCGTTCTCTCTCTTGACCTCGTCGTTCCTACGTCGACGATAGGTGGACGTTCGAGCTTTCAAAGGGGGTCAAACATACAAAGTGCACGATCGTTGCAGACAGGTATATTGTCGTTATTAATTGTCGTCATTAACATTAAAACATCAAGAATGATATTAAGACGCGGCGCGTCTGGCGCGTTGGTGCACTTCATGTATCCACGCGTTCAGCCGCATATTAAATGCAATGATTTAATTATCGCATTACGTAACTATCACTATCGGTAGTTCCCGATAATCGCCCGCCGATGCGATGTCAAGCCGGTGCGCTTTTTCCACGGCGAGTTGCACCGTCACATTCGATGTCGTGGTGGCGAGCGTGACGCGAGCTAAGCACGCGAAAATGGGCTTTAACTCGCGCGCTGGCAAGAGATCGCGCGCTTGACACCAAATATAAGAGCGAGACAGCACGAAAGGAGGTGGCGGGAAGGATGGGATGATGCGAGCCGTTGCAGGAGGGGGTGCTGAAGAGAGAGAGAGAGAGAGAGAGAGAGAGAGAGAGAGAGAGAGATACGAGAGAACAGAGTTCGTTGCACCCGCTCGCGTTCACTGCGCTTTATAGACGCGGATATAGGTTTCGCGGTACCAATTCTGAAAAGGCAAGTGTGATACTCTTCCTTCTTCGTTGTCGAAAGAGCGCGAACGAATCGCGCGAGAATGTGGTTTTCCGATCGGCGATCGGACGTGCTCCGTTTGAGAAAGAGAAAGAGACGTCTATGAAACCTTCACTGAGGGACATCGAAGTGCCTCGAGAGGTCAAGAAAATCATGCGACAATGATTATCGATGGACACGATGGTTACACAGGTACCGAGAAGAAAATCATCATCTCGATTTGTGAAGCTTTTGTTCCCGGCAATTTCGTTCCCGGCGAAGCGCGTCTCACGTTCGTCATGTCTCCGCAATATCGCTTCTTTCCATAGTTTTTTTTTTCCACGGTACCTGCTAACAGGTGGTCAGCGCACGCTCTCGCTTTTTCACGCTCGACATATTATTAATTCAGGGACGCGTATAATCAGGAAGCTTTTATTCGGCCAGTGCGTTAATGTTTCATAAAACTCGCCGAGGCGCATAAAAACTCCTCGTAAATCCGCAGGTGTAAATAGATGAGCGTCGAGGCGTAGAGAGACATTAATGTCTCTTAGTAACCGAACGAGAGGCGCGATCGTTAAAAGGGCGTCGAAAAGGGACGGCAGAAAATGGGGGAAGTGCCACGGAGGAACAGAAAGGAGGAACAGAAACGAGAAAAGTACGGGGCAAGAATTGTGCCCGCATACTTATCGTTAGTCTAGAGCTTTTCCTGTGATGATCGCAGGTAAACCTGCTTCGAGAGGTCTTTAGTGAGAAACGACCACCGTCACTTCAAGTCTGCGGAAGGGCTCGAAAGTACGGGCGGAGAAGACCCTCGAGTGCACCCGCAGAAACTCGATAACACCTCGCGAGCCCGCCCGCAAGCCGTCGATCTACGACATGCAGTCGCGAGTCTCCCGAACACAATTGGATTCTCGCGAGCTCTGATGATCGATCGGACATGATCGACGGCGCCGGATGACTCTCTCTCTCTCTCTCTCTCTCTCTCTCTCTCTCTCTTCTCCTCGCGATAACGCGGAGCGTTATCCGTTCCGAGCAAGTTCGCAAAGCGCAACGTGAGCGCGATGTGGAAAAGAGCGTGTCATACGCGCTATCGCGGGAAAGTATCGATTATCGAAATGGACTATTAGAAAATGCAATAAGTGACAGGCGGTTAAGATGTATCGATTCGCCGGGAATGTCGGTCGCGACCGACGACACGCGACGATGTTACACGCGCGTGTGTGTACTGTCTATGTGTGGATTCTCGTTGCGACAGGTATGACGGAGGAGCAAACTCACGGTGTTTTTGTCTGAGCGACAGGTCGCAAAGGGGGGCTGGGAGGGGGCGGAGACACCGACACGCGTATTGGCGACCCTTTCATTTGAAACAATAGCTTGTATTTTGTAGGCCGCGCTCTACCTTTCACAAGTCGCGCGACTAACTTTCCTATCTGCTCGCGCGGCGCGACAGCGGGAGGATTGGCGATAGCGAAAGCGAGGGGAGAAAGCGAGACCGAACCGGTGGGCGGCGGCACTCGAAAACCCGCGCGCGAAAACACGTGAAACGCGGAAAATATATGTCCGGCCGCGAGATCCTCCGTCCTCGTCGTAGTAATCGACGCTATTCATCGCGCGATCGCGATGTTCTCCACGGCTGGGTTACGTCGAGAGATCGGCACGCCAACACGTCGCGTCTTGAGAAAGGGAAAGCCGTAACCGTGTTGATAACTGACCAGGGAACATCAAGATGCACGATATCGATTCTCCGGATGTCCGACGCGTCGTTCCGCGCGTTTGAATCACCGACGTGACGATCGATTACGTGCGGTAAGAAGTTGACGAAGAGAAACAACAAGCGCGGTTGTTCTTTACAGTGGTCCGCGCAATTTCTTGAAAAACCGGTAAGAGAGCGTGCGCGGCTTCGGAACACACGTGGGCATATAAATATATCGAGCGGTGCGCGCCAGCAGCGTACGTCCGAGTGAATTAGAAAGCAGTTTCGATTCTTTAGAATCTAGAGACCCCCGCTGCTGTCGTGCGACGTCGGGCACGTCCTTCGTCGTGGTGTCGCTATATCGGGTGAACCTTGCGAGCTCTCCGCGAAGAGTGACTCTCCTGGCAGAATTCGCGCGACGGGAGCGCGAGCGCGTGAAATTCGATTTGCATTTTCGTCGGGAAGTATTCCGCGATGTCTCGCGAAGATATCGCCGCGCTCGGGTTTCAGCGAACGCGCAGCATCACTCGATTATCGCCGCGAGCGAGTTCGTGTGCGAACACATTCGACGCGGGCGAACTTCATTCGCGGTTGATAAGACTCGCTCAATTATACAATCGCGATTGCCCCTGTTTACACACGACCGATGGATAACGGTGGATAATACGCGCGACGAACAAGTACCTACTCGCACTCAAGAATGACTCCTCGATCTTCCCTGCCAAGTACCTTTGGAACGCTGCTCGCGAAGATCCGTCGTCTCACACCCTTATGCCGCTGCACGTTCTCTCGTCACAACACACAAGACACGTTCAACACGAAGGAAAGGTGGACGGACACTCGCGCGACCGGTCGGTCGGTCGGTCGGTCGGTCGGTCGCTCGCTCGCTCACTATGCACCGTTCGCACTCCACTTGCACTTTTCATCGAGTACGTCTTTTCTCAGGCGGTTCCCTCGCTCGCGCCTGCACTCACCGAGATCCTTTCTTTCTCTCGCCCCCTCCCCAACTCAACCTCCCACGCTTAGCGGATGCAGTCGATCGGGACCGATCGGCCGATCGGTCCCTCGCAGACTCCCTCCAACGTCGTCCGCTCTCGTCAGGTAGCGGGCGAGGGAGGTCACGAAAGGTCGTGCTCGCTCTGACGTTATACAATGGTGTCCGGCGGTCGGCTCGGTTTCTCTTCGAAGAATAACGAAGTAGTAAGCTCCCCCTCGCACAAGACCTTCCCCCCCTCCTT